CACTTCAGATCACATTAATAGAAGCACACCACAAAAGTTCGTTCAACTAAAAATGTAAAACATCCATTAATTTTTTTACATCCTAATATAATTATAATATATTTATTTTTATTATTTGATTTAAAAATAGATATAATTGCCGAGGTAATCAAAACTGATAAAGTCGTTAAATATGAACGAGATGGTCATGAAACGACTAGGCTTAACACATATCTCGGTAACTTGAAGTTAGTAGTATTTATTATTTATATCTTTTTTTAGTCACATTTGTATCACCTTAATCAGTTATAATTATTTCATTGTCTTTTTTGAAGTGGAGAAACTATGGAATGTACACTGTGGAACCAATTGAATTTATTGTTATTATTATTTAGTAGATTGGTGAATAAGTTAGGTTTAGGGAATAGGAGTCTTATTTAAAAACTCGTTCTTCTTTATTATTGGCAGTTGAAGTTGAATAAGAAAATATGTATTTGAGAGGAGAATCTCTTCTTTTATTTCCCATTCGTACGCTTCCCTACATCAACAACTCATGTGAGTAATAAGTATAGATATAAGATTTATGTTGTTTCATTACTTAAAATAATTTATTTTTTTATAAATTACTCAAATAAAAAATATTAAGTAGTTGAGTAATTTTTCAAATTATACATAATTGACTATTTCGTTTACATCCACGTTAATATTGACCCGCAAGTTATTGAGTAATTTATTAAACTATAAATAATTGACTATTTCGTTTACGTCCAAGTTAATATTGACTCGTAAGTTATGAATAATTATTTTTTTTATTTTAAATAAGAATCTTATTATTTTTTTTAATATATTATATATCAAATTTAAATTATGCAACTAATAAAGGTAATAACTGCAAGTTTTATCAATATATTATATTCTAAATTTAAATCATGCAACTAATAAAAGTAATAGCCGTAATATTGACCAAAATGATTGTGTACATTAATTTAGGCGGAATTTTTTTAAATTTTGGCAAAAAATATTACTCAATATAGTAAATACTTTAGGCGACAAACTAAATATTGTTTTGCTGATTTTTAGTTGGTTTTTCAAGTAAATATTATTGTCTCTTTATATATTAATAAAAGATAAAATAAAATAATAGCTGATCGCACTTGAGATTGCCGCTGACTGGAGACGCGGTTGAGTAGGAGAAGGGTATAAGTGGAAATTCGATGGACGATTAAGCGGACACGTGACGGTTAACGAAAAGTAATCCAAAATTTCTGAATTTCCAATGAAGTTCAAATATTATTACATTTGTGTCATTTTGTAAAGATTTTTTTAATGGTTATTCTCCTACCATTTTGATACATTACAAAATAGTATAATTTTTGCATCACGATTCACATACAAGATGAATCATGGAAGTTTTGTGTCCTAGATATTTTACATATAAAATAGTATACTTTCCCCACCAAACTTGTTGCAAGTCTAGCTGCCCCAACCCCCAATATCAGAGTTCTGTTTTGCCACTGGGACAGGAGGCTCATCCAACTCTAAACGCATCTTATCGCATAACTTGGAGATTTCCTCAAGATCCATGGACCGCTACCAAAAACCACCGAAAATCGCCCTTCCCGATGAAGATCCAGCGAACCCTAGGTCCGAGCCCCAAAATACTATTGGGATGAGAACCCACCTCAATTACCTTCAGGAAAATGCAATAGAACCCTAGAAGCTTCTAGGCCCGAAAAGGAGTTGAAGAAATCGCCACACAAAACCGGCCTTACCGGAAAAAGCAAACTAGAAGCTGCAATCGCCTAAATCGCTCGCACGGGAGAGAAAGGGAGTAATATCTGGAAACCTTTTTTTTCCTACCTTTTTGATACATTACAAAATAGTACTACCTCCTATTTTTTTAAATGTTATTTTGGTTTTATCAATAATTAACTAAATAAATGACGTTTTAGATCTTTTGTACATATTTTTCTATTATTGCCCTTATCTAGCTAATAAATACATTGCGTTTTTTCATATCCACTCTTCATCTTTTTCTCAAAACATTCATGATTTACATACAAGATGAATCATGGAAGTTTTGTGTCCTAGATATTTTACATTTATGATTGTTTTCTCCTTAAAAGCCACATGAAATAGTATGAATGCAAACAACAAACAAGTCCTCACCGGCGCTTGGTTTTGACCAAGCTCAAGTCGTATTCAAATTGGAGTCAAGTTTGATCTTGTAAGAGTGATTATTTAACGAGCCGGTCCATATAATTACTTAAATAGCCTACTTAAGTCAAATACTACTTGAAATTAAGTGAAATTATTCATAAAATCAAACAGATCACAAACTTATGTATACTATAGTCAAGTCGAGTCGAGCTAGAATGAGTTTGGCTCGTCTAGCTCAAGCACCAGTCAAATAACTCGAGCTCTGGTTGATGACAATAGTAATTCATGTAGATATTTGTATGCAATTATGATAATAATTTATGTAGATATATTTGTATGCAATTATGCAATAAAGTTTATAGTTGAATTACAAGAGATTGGGTCATTCATATATAATTTCTTTATTAAATACCCTACTCAAGTTAAATACAACATGAGATTAAGCAAATATCTCCATAAAATCAAACCGATCTCAAACATTTGTATGCTATTATCAAGTCAAGTCGAGCCACAGTAACCTTGGCTCATCGAGCTCAAGCACCAGCAAAAATCTCGAGTTCAGGTTGACGATGATTGCAATTTCTTTAGAGGTTTGTATGCAATTATGCAATAAAATTTATAGTTGAATTACAAAAGATTGGGTCATACTTATAGATGGACCGTGAGTGGGAAGTTTGGCCTTGTGTTCGAGGATCTTCTAATGACAAGTTGCATATGAAGCTCTACATTTTCCATACAGTACTACAAAAGTTAAATCTGGTGCAAAATTTGAGCTGATCTTTGTTTTTTTCATGCCATCAAGATAACAAGATAGCTCAAATTGGGCCGATTGGTTTCCATGTTTTGGGCTTTCGTCGAAGGTAGTCCAGTCTTCATTTCTGTGGAGCCCAAAGCTCGAAATGAAAGGTCTTTACCTTACACTTCCAGTATGTGATTATATTTACATTCAATAATATAATTAGAGTGCCATTATATATAAATATATATTTTCCAATGCACTACTTCATTTGCCAATTATAATATGCAGATATAGTTTGTAAAACTTTAGTTTGCTTTAGGGTTGGTATTTTGTGAAGTGTTGTTTGCATCATTTTCATGTCCAAGAAGTAGTATATGACTGACAAAAATAAGGTTGTGTTATTTTTTATTTCCAAATTGTCCGTTTGTCTGTTTTCTGTGCAAAAAAATACCATTCAATTAATCCTCTTTTTTTATACAAATCCCACTAACATTAATAACTTAAAAAAATAGTCAATATTATAATTTTTTTTAAATAATATTCATTTACTCATATATTTCCGTCTATCAATCTTATCAATTAATATTCTATATTATATTAACTTTAATCATAATGGATGCTGGCCCACTATCATGAAAGACACCATGAAAGAAGGGAAAAAATTCATATGAAGCCCAAATGGAGTTCCATCCCAAAACCAATTGGTGGAAGGAGAAGTAGCCCATTAGTCTTATAAGGTGGGTCTATTTTCTATATATGAACGATGTGGGACAACTCACAAGTGATATTCTAACAATTAGATCTTTCTTATCTCGTTTTGTTTGTATTCTTCAACTGTTTTATTTTTGTGAAAATAATTTAATCACTTTTTTCATATTACATTTTCTAAATAAAAAAAAATCGAAAAAAGCATTTGACCGTAGGAATTGAAGTTTGAAGTTCTCATTTTCGAATTACACTCTTTCTTTCATACTTTTTGCTAGACTTTGTAGAATCACAAGTGCTATAAAATATTGGGATATTTCCCATCAAAATAACTGAAATGTCTTCTGAATTTTCACCCAGAATTGGTCATATTTTGCGCCTGAAATGTTTGACGAGTTGATCAAATTAATTAAATCAACCACGAAGAACTTCAAAATCGACGCTTAATTTCAACATGACATCCATTTTTTGCCTTAGTGTCAAACAATAACTTGTGATCACATTAATACTATTTAATTAATATCAAGTGATTCTATTAGCTTCTAAATGATAACAGATTATAGTAACATACTCACTAGCATATTATTAATAGTTGTTTGATAAATAACTGTTTACACACTTCCCTATACTGAATCTTTTTCATAATTAGCATTTTAAACTTAAAATTATCCAATCAAATAATCTCTTTATAAATCTACAAATTAAAATACATTAATTCACTACTATCCAAACTTAGAGATTAAATATTCCCAACTCAAATCAAGTGGCCACATCGGATCAATAGGGAAATTATGAACGATTTGTTTCAACGAATCGTGTGCCTTCGTTTGTATGCCTCCTGACTTTTTAGTAGGGAAAAATAGTAACTAGCTCAGTAGTTTTTGTTCAGTGGACATAGATCTAATAATTTGGGTTTAAATTCGGTTTGCTAATCAAAATTCAATATGGTTGAAAGCTTTGATCTGATTAATTGATTTAATTAGTTTCTCATTTTAATTAAATTTCCAGTACGAATTGAGTCAAAATCGAAGCTTGGACTAACTTGACACAAATTAAAAGGTAATAGATCAAATTGATCCCCAAAAATTAATATTGGAGAATGTACGACTAATAACAAGGCAAAAACTGCAGTTTGTCCTTTTTATAATAATAACAATGTTAATAATAAATATCACCACAAGTCTCGGTCCATTCCACGGGTTGTCGTTGACCTTAATCGCTTCAAGGATTTTCTTGCATGGCTTCATGATGACATATATTTGAAATTTTTGAATTTTGATAACCTCGTGCTATCTAACAGATAAACCCATGATTTCATTGTATTATTCTTTAGAAACTTTTAACCATTAACCCCAATATAAATATCATCACAAAACCATCCATACATAATCCCTTACATCAAATTCCAGGTAAGATATTAATTTCACATATAATTTAACTACTCAATCCCTCCCAAAATCAAACCATTTTTCTTAGATTTGATCTTCACTTAAATTTTCCTCTTTTCTTTTTATTTTTTATTTAATTTTAGGTTATGGAGAAGTTTATGCTCTGTTTCGGCTTGGTTTTGCTCTGCCTGCATCATGTCGCAGAATGCAATAAGAAACGAGCCGTGCTTTACTCGGAGATTAACTGTCGAAAGTACGTCTATAATTTGACCCATTTTGGAGGGATAGGAGACGGGAAAACATCCAACACGAATGCATTTAAGGCGGCCATTGATTATCTTACCAAACGTGCCTTGCATGGTGGGGCCATGCTTGTTGTCCCGAAAGGGAAATGGCTAACGGGACCCTTTAATCTCACTAGCTATTTCACGTTGTACTTGGATCATGGTGCTGTTATTCTAGCATCTCAGGTTATAATTAATAAACCTCTCTTTTTTTAGTTTGTTTTATATATGACGACAAAATAATTAACTAAAAGTTATAATGTGCATATGAATTGTGCAGAAACAATCGGATTTTCCGTTAATCCCTCCATTACCTTCGTACGGAAGAGGAAGAGATGCTCCCGGACCTAGGTTTGCTAGTCTTATATCGGGAACAAATCTTACGGATGTCGTAATTACAGGTAAAAATGATAAAAATAATTTATAATTAATTTCATCTAGTTTTAGAAAAAGGTATATATTCAACTGTGTAAAACTGAAGCAAATAAAAAAAAATATTTATTTGTCTTTTTTTCAGGAGCGAATGGAACTATAGATGGTCGAGGAAAACCCTGGTGGGAAAGTTTCAGGAATAAAACTCTTAACAACACAAGACCATACTTGATTGAAATCATGTTTTCTAATCAGGTGCAAATTTCCAATATTACACTCCAAGACTCTCCTTCATGGCATGTCCATCCTACATATTGCGAGTATGGTCTCTTCTTATGTGCTAACTCATATGACCAAATAAGGTTTTAGTACAGAACTTTATGGCACTATTGGTATGATGGAATGACATAGGAATGAAATGATAATTCCTTTACTCATTCCTTATCCCATGATTGGTATATTTTTTGAGAAGGAATGACCATTCTAATGGGAATGGTAAAACTCATCTCCATGGGATTAGCCATTCCATAGTAAATGGAGGGTTTTCTCATTTCCATGTGTGTAGGAATCAATTTTTCAAAAAATAAAATTAACAAATAATAATAAAAAATAAATATATAATATATAGTATAAATCATGATTAAAATATATTAAATAAAATTATTTTAAACAAAAATTCAAATAAAAAAAATGAAAACTTACTTTTATTTATTTTTTAATTAGATATATTATATACTTATATAAAAATAAAACTAAAAAAAGTATTTATATATAATTTAAAAATATATTATTTTATTTTTATATATTATTAAAAATATATTATTTTTTATATATTAAAAATATATTACTTTTAAAAATATATTATTAAAAATATATTATTGAAAAATATTAAAAATATATATTATTAAAAATATATTACTT